CGATAGGAGACTACAGTTTTGTGAGCAAATAATGCATTTACTTGACAATATTACTGTGAATCCAAAGAACATACTTTTTTTCTGACAATTCAACTTTCATGTTGAATGACCAGGTGAATTGACAGAACTGACTTTATTAGGCAGACAAAAGCAAATACTTATGTTAATGTTTCTTTTATTGTAAAAAATAAAGGAACAATGCAGTTTCTTTATGTTTCTCCTGATTGGTTCATTTTCTTTGATTGTCCATTTTCTCGATAACTGCATCAGTTAAATCTCTAGGATTCCCATTTTAGGTTTTTTTTCTTATATTCATTTTCATGATTTCCTGTGATTCTTGGGAATTGCAGATGGTTTTTGATTTTTGATTACCGATGATGTATGATTGAAATTAAGGTGATAGTATAGGTAGTTTTGCTCTAGGGTCTGTAGACTGATATCAAAAACTCTGTTCAGCTTTGTTCTAAATTATAAATGTGCCATTCAAATCACTCTATTTATACAGGATGTTTCAAGAGTTTATTTTGACAATTAGAAAAATCTCTATAAATGCATTCTCAAAGAAACTTTTCAGCTTATTATCCTCTGGTGAGAAAAATCACTTGAGACGTTTCGTTTTTCTGGAACCATCATCAACTTTGTCATTTTTAATAGAGACCCGGTTTTTTTAAAAATAAACATTTTAAAATAAAATACTTTGACAGAAATTGTCTTTAATGTTAAAGTTTTACACGTGGTTTTGACTTGTATGTGTTACGGTTAAATGCCGTTGTCCGGTTAATGTCGACATTAACATGTTAATGTTTGGGTAAGGTTATGTTTTTGGTTGTTTTGTTGTGTGTTATTCTCGAGATTAACCGGATAATGTCGACATTAACCGGACATCGGACCTTAACCGTAACATATTATATATCACAAGTGGTCATAAAGCAAAACCTAATCAAACAAAATTAGATATATTTATTAAGAACTAGTTGGCGTACTGGATCATGTTAAATAGAAAGACTTAGTAAAGTATGATGAAATCACTGTAGCGTCATCGTCAGTTCCTGCAGTACTGAGATGATAGTCTAGAAGTATCTAGTACTGGTGATGTCACAAGTCAAAAAGTGTTGAAAAAATTTCAACGTTAAAGACAATTTCGGTCAAAAATGGATAATTTTTCAAATTATTTATACCACAATAAATAGAAAAAGGAGATTGTTAGCAGAGCGGCAGTAGAAAACACATCAAATGCCACCACCACCATCACGGACGGTTTCCTTTCATTCAATTCCAGTTATTTTTACATTTCTAAACTCTCGGTACTCGCCGCTAGCTATGCTATTCATCTCTGTTTCTCTCGCACTCTCGTGGCAGTACCATTCTCTCTTACTCTTTTCCTTTCTCTCCTACGAATTTCAGCCTATCGGTCTAATGGCTTCCTCGGAAAATATCTCTAAGCGTACCAGAGCTCGACCCAAATAAAATATTTGAGGACATTTTTTGAATGGACCTCGATTTTATACTCATAATGGCTATTATATTTTTAATGAATTTGTATTATTAATGTCTATTGATACGTTATAAATTATTTAATATTAAAGTCTTGGTAAAAATGTATGTACATTTTGGAAGAACGATTTGATAATCTTATATGGTATACTAGGGTCGGCATTTCTGGTCTTGGGTGCCGGTTTTCGTGAGTACGGTCAACACGCTTAGTAAAATAAGATGTACTGAATAAAGACAGAAGGCATGTATTCTCCCAAGCGTATGGAATCTAGCGTCAGATTAGGTGATTATGTAATAAATACTTCGTATTTTTGCTCTCTCCGACTTACTAGATTGCCATAGCGATTCACACCAATACATGTAAACGCCGACCCAAGGTTTCGCTTGCCAGCAGGGTATAACAGTATACTTAGGAAAATGCATAAGAAACAAAAAAAAGTTTATTCTATCGTTTACTCCGCCTACACAATGTTTGACATTTGACATGTATTATTAGTTATTATATGAAACAAATACAGTAACATTATTACTAGATCATTATTTATTTTCGATAAAATAAATAACTTTTTTCGTTCTACACGAATGGTAAGACGATATCCATAGGTACCCACTATTATAAAAATTTGGAGAATTGCTACCTAAAGTAGTGATACTCTATATTGGTAGCATCATCATTTTCAGCTTATTCAACCATTTCCAATTATGGTGTAGCCTCCTTTACATACTTTCTTTGTAGTTGGGCCCATTGTTGTCTATTGTTGGCTATGCGGGCACAAGTTATCCCTGCTAATTTCCTAAATCATGGTCCCATCCCAAATTCGGTCTTCCCCTAGGTCTCTTAATTCCTCGTGGGTACCATGCTGTAATTTTTGTGGTCCATCTTTTGTCCGTTCTTCTTGCCAGGTGTCCTGCACATTACCATTTGAGGGATTTGACTCTGTGGATGGCATCTGGATGGACTCTGTGGATGGACCTGGGTCTTTTGTGGTATCCACTCTATTCTTTTACGGTCTCTCTTGGTTATTCCCAGCATATTTCGTTCCATTGAGCGTTGTGCGGCCTGCATTTTCCTTATGATGTCCGTTTTAAGTGTTCAGGTTTCGCATGCATAGGTCATGACTGGTATTATTGGTCGAATGTTTTCTTCTGTAGATAGAGTGCCATTCTAGATTTGAATATGATTATTGATAGTAGAGATCCCGAGCTGTGTATTAGTTGTCCCAAATAATTTAATATTCTTTATAGAGAACAAATTTATCTTGATATTTGTAACTTTGCCTTAATCAGCAACGTCCATATATTTTAATAATGAGCCAAAATATTTTCTGATAACAGTTCAACTAGAAAACGTAAATCATGAAATAACGAATTATGCTGAGTTCAGGCCGGCAGGGCCGACTAAATGAATTTAAGCTTTTAACAGAAATTTAGAAGTATAAATTATTGGTCTTTTAATAATAAATAATAAAAATAGTCAATAATTTTTCAAACACTAGTCTTGGTCTTGGTTTTTGTGCAAGAGAGAGGATCAGAAACAAGATCAGTCTCGCTCACACTAAATAGAATTTCTGTTATAAACAATTGTTGCTAAAAGGAATATTATAATATACCGTATGATCGAAAAAAAAACGGCGCCAACGATGGCTATGAAATGAAGATCGCTGTCATTTTATATGTAAATTTATATGGGAAATATCATCGATCATCATTTCCAGCCGGTTTTTTTTCGATCATACGATATTAATAAAATGCTTGCTACAAAAATGTTTACTATATAATCATTTCCTAACAAATTTAGATTAGATTATAAAAGGAAAAAAAATATCTTTTTTAATTTAGATCTTCTGTTTATTTCGAAATGGAAGGTAAAGATGATTCTTACGAATTAAATAACTAATAAAAGTTTGCAAAATAAAACACTAAATCACCACAATACACCAAAACGGTATATTTTCGCACTGGACGAAAAAAATTTGAAACTTTCCAGTTTTAATCATCTGCTGATGATACTAATATGGTTAGCGATACGCGCATCCAGTGCAAAAATAAAGTGTTTTTGGTGTATTGTGACGATTTAGTGTTTTATTTTACTGTTGTAACACCAAAGGTGCCAACCCTCAACTGTAAATAAAAGTTTACAACTGTTTGACAGCTTGTAGCTATAAAAGATGGCCTGCAAAGGTGAAGCAAAATGGAAATAGCAAGAGTAAAATGGAGATTGCTTGGTTGGTTGGGCATATTGTAGTATTGGCAGATGGCATATTGATTAAATGGATGAAATCGGTATTACAATAGCGGCCAAGAGAAGATAAAAACGAAGATGAAGTCCATAAGCCAATGACGGTAAAGAGACTTAACGCCAATTCTGCAGGGACTCTTCACAGTAGACAAAAAATCGAGTACCACAGCTGTAGACTAAAATCTTGATTTGATCTTTTGTGAACTGCCCAGGGACCCCAAGTGTCTAAAAGGACCATCTTCCTGGCCTCACTAGGTGTTAAATTCTAATAGAATCAGTGATAAGCAAATGCAAAACTAAGACCAAGGTTTCCCTGGTCTTGGTCTTGGTCTTGGTCTTGTAGAGAATGTAGAATGTATGTTGTATGTTCTCAATCACCGGCGACCTTACATATCTATTGTGTCCCCTTTTCTTGAGTTATAAATCATCATACAGTCCGAAGGCTTCGACAAAAGCTAGTATCTAAGACGGTTTTACAGCGGTTAATTTTCCATCTCCGATATCAGTCGTACCAAAGTTCATGGCACGAATGGTTGTCGTCTCGGCGCACTCAATGATGAGATTTTCTGGTGTTTCCCTATTTTCCCCACAGAATCTGCATTCGTCGTTGTTTCTAAGCTTCAATCTACTGAAGTGTTCGTTGAGGAAACAGTGCCCTGTTAAAAACCGCGTGACAGTACTAAGATTGTTCTTCCTTAAATCAACGAAAATTTTTGATTTTCTCGGTCGTAAATTCTGAGAAATTTCTTCGAATGTCTTAGAACGTTAGAGGATTCCCATTCCAGGTTACGGATGGAATCTTCCAGGTCCTTGAGTTCCGCTTGAAGTTGGTTTCCACTTGGATGGTCTTGGTTTTGGTCTTGCAGTTAATAAGTAGTCTAGGTCTTGGTCTTGATGCAAGACTCTTGTAAGTCCTACATTTGTTGTAATAAGTTTTTACTACTTACTTCCTTTTCATGCAAGACAAAGACCAAGACAGCAAGATCAAGACTCACGCTCATCACTAAATACAATTTCTGTTAATCCAATCTAATAAACAATTGTTTGCTTTAGGTATTTTAAAGGTCTTCCATCCAATACCTTAAGATATAATGCAAAAATTGAAGTAAACCGCAAAAGTTACCGATTGAAAGTTTATCTGTCCCCTCCCCATCACTGGCACAAACGAACACACTTTCTTATTGGTGTCGAGCTCTACTACGCCGGTTTCGTCGTCTGCTATACCGAGAACTACGTTACAAAATCCTTAAGTATCAAGAATTGTTTTCGAATCGCCTTATTTCAAAAGCGAGCGTGTCTGTGCGAGGTCAACAGTCGAGAGTCGAGCCGACTTGACGAACGCCAAGCGATTCAGTCGATTCCCAGTCGCGGACGCGCTAGAATAGCGCTCAGTCACACAGTCTGGTTAAGCGGCATCAACGAAAACCGCTGTTCGTTCCAGAAGAAATGCATTTGTCTGTCGGTACTACATTTTCAGTGTGGAAAAATCTCATCTTGGATCGTGTGCGATCGGCTCTTTGGAAAACTCTGTACGCGTCCTAATCGAGACTATGCGTCCGTATTAAGAACAAAACTCTTTTGTGAGCTGTAAAAATTATTAGTAGGATATTAAAGTGTGTTGATGGTGGTGATAAGTTCCTTCGATTCTGTTGTGGTACTATGTGCAGTGTCGATGCCGTCTGTGATAGTTTGTGTTCACTGTGATCTAGTTCTATAAGGATTAATTTTAGACTTGTTTGCGTCCAAACTGGATATCCTAAAAAAGGTGAGGCACAAAGCGTTTATTTGAATAAATTCTTATAATCGGCTCCCACGCTGTTTTCCTGTAATGTCGTTAATTATAACAATTTGATAATTATTGTTAATATAATCGCAAAATACTTACTTAAATAATACACGAATTTTAGGAAGGAATGCATTTTTTATTAAACGGATAAAAATACCATTTAAAAGAAAAGCCTTGGCAAGGTCGAGCTTTTTTTTTCGAGTATCGCTCAAAGTGCTGACCTCTACTGTTAAAGTAAATTAATAACGCTAGAGTTTTCAGAATTTTCAAGAGTTGTCTATGTCATTAATTAAATTTATCAGCATTTTAAACTATGGTTTTCCAGTTAAATCAGCCGCTATCTGAAATAACATTTAAATAAGCTATATTAATAGTTTTTTCCTGTTATTATTAATGGTGCATCTATTTAAAAACTTAGACGAAATAAATAACCACGCCGATAACAGCTGATCTTTCGTTTATATGTTTATAAAATGCACTTTTATCAGTTTGCGTAAAACCACGTAAATGTCTTGTAATAAATTTGTTTATCAAAGCTCGTTTCAAATGATTGAACAAACAATTTCTAATTAAACATTTTCTGTAGTGTTCAGACTGAATAAAGTTTATCACTTTTTTTTATTTAACAATACACAATTGGGTATACCCACAATTGTATTAAAAAAGCGAAAATGGTAGTATTACAATTTTTGTTGAGTAAGGTTTTTTAAACAATACATAGAGCTTATTCTTTTTATTTTAGAATACTCATCTACTCGTGTACTTATAGAAATTCACATTTATCTTATATGCTTATAAATCGAAATTTTATTCGTTTCTTGTGACTGACTTAATCCAGCCATATTATCAAGATATTATATTTTTTAACTAAAAATTAAACAAAAGATCTTCAAAATTATTGGATTTTAGGAGATACCCATAGAGATATAGGTTTGTTTTAACAATATTATATTTATTTTTTTCCTTTATAGACCAGTTATTTTAGGTATCAATTACTTTAAAACTTCTGTTTAATATCTGTGACCAACACGATCATTTATTTAACAATGAACCTTGAATCCCAGCATTCGTATTAAAAAAAGTTCGTGTCCTTACTTAACAAGTATTTACGATTTTTCATTGAATTAATTATGCGTTATAAATTAATTCGATTTGGGGAACGCGTTGCCTATCTTTCTTAGAAGACCTTCAAAGATATTTACGAGAAAACTATAATTTATTGATCTTTTGTTGTATCCTGTTCTACCTGAGCTATCATATAATATTTCAACGTCGAAAAAAGATTAGAAATTCCCAAAATTGTTTCTGAAGCTATCGTAAATAATTCTAAAAATCAAGATTTTTTAACTTGGGATTAGAATTAAAGTCCAATAAATTTATATTTATTTATTGGCTTATGATAAAATAGACAAAAGGATAATGAGACGACTATGACTGCTTGGTCAGTGGTTCTAAAAATGTTTTATTATAACTAAGAAAACTAAAGCAACTAAAGGTTGTTTTATGAAAACTACTTTTCCGAGGATTTTTCAGTATTACTTCATTAATATTTATTTGTATGTTTTATGTAAATTATCATGGTTTAACATAACATTACTTTCATCCGAATAAACACTTATACCACAGAATATCTAGCTACGCAACAGAAGCCTCGTTACATGTATAAAATTGTAGGTAGCAAAAGGAGACAGGCTTTAAAAGTCTGTCTCCAAATCAGATATTTTGATGTGGTAGTTTCGCTACTACATAATAGAGGGCAATAAATTTAAAAGAAAACAGTTTTCTACAAACAAAATTTAAAAGAATTTTGTGCAGTGTTGCCATTGTGCAATTCATATCGTAATACTTCCTGATAAAGCCTACCTTCAAATTTGCTACATCATTTAAACATATTAAAATAGATCAGAGCTGTTTTTTTCAGTTTGCCATGTTAGTTGGAATTAAATGTTATGAGCTAAATTACAATCACTTCCTGACGTTTGATTGTATAATTGAATCCTGAATTTTCATTGTAATTCGGCGACAATATAATAAGTATTCTTCTACTATTATGATACCACTTCCTGACGTTCGATTGTGTTCATACCAAGTTCATATTGTATAATCGGGAAAAAACGGCGTTAGCGATAGATATGAAATGAATATCACTGTCATTTTATATGTAAATTTATATGGGAAATGTCATCGATCGTCCTTTTCCAGCCAACTGGGCGCCGTTTTTTTCAGAAGCATATCAAGTGATACCATAATATAGTACTATATTACGATACATGGCGTTCGATTGGGCTTAAACTTGGTATACTATATCTTCAGTGACATTGTAATATCATGGAGCATATAAAGTGGTACCTTCCATAGTACCATATTTGATGACATAACAATATTAGGTACATGGCGGCAATAGGGCTTAAACTTGGTATACTATGTATTTTCGGTGACATTGCAATATGATGGTACTTTGATGCATATCATCTGGTGATGGTACCTCTTATTATGCTCCATGGTACCATAATATTACAATATCACCGAAGATACGTAGTATCCCAAATTTAAGCCCAATCGAACGCCATGTACATAATATGGTACTATATTATGGAATATAGTACCATATTATGTACATGGCGTTCGATTGGGCTTAAATTTGGGATACTACGTATCTTCGGTGATATTGTAATATTATGGTACCATGGAGCATAATAAGAGGTACCATAATATAGTACCATATTACGATACCATTTCCTGGCGTTCGATTGGACTTAAATTTGTTATACTACCTATCTTCGGTTACATTGTAATATGATGGTACTATGATGCATATAAAGTGGTACCTTAATATAGTACCATATTTCAATACCATTTCCTGGCGTTCGATTGAGCTCATATTTGATATATATTTGCGTATTTTTGATGACATTGCATTATTATGGTACCATGAAGCAAATCAACTGGTACCATAATATAGTACTATATTACGTACATGGCGTTCGATTGGGCTTAAACTTGGGATAGTACGTATTTTCGGTGACATTGTAATATGATGGTACTATGATGCATATAAAGTGGTACCTTAACATAGTACCATATTACGATACCATTTCCTGGCGTTCGATTGGGTTCAAACTTGGTATACTACGTATCTTCGGTTACATTGTAATACGATTGAACTATGATGTATATAAAGTGGTACCTTAATATAGTACCATATTACGATACCATTTCATGGCGTTCGATTGTTCTTAAATTTGGTATACTACGGATCTTCGGTGACATTGCAACATTATGGTACCTTAAAGTATATCGAGTGGTACCATAATATAGTACACTATTATGATATCATTTCCTGGAGTTCGATTGGGCCCCAAATTTGGTATACTTGCGTTTCTTTATAAAGATTTGTTTAATTAATAATTTTAATTTATTTTACGAATTTTAATTTATTGTTCGATGTCGTGACAGCAACTTTTATGCCGAACTAATATATTATTAATTGTACCTGTGTCACTTTTTAAAATCTACCTAGGTCTATATAAATAACGTGGCAAACGGAAGAAATTTGTTATTATAGTATTTTTTAGTCAGTTAACATTTTTTGTACTGCATTTTAATAAATTATTTGCATTATTATTAAACTTATATTTCATTACTAACGTTCCAGTATTAATAAATATCACTATCAATCGCCCTGTATATTATTAATTTTAAAGGTAATTAAAGGTATTTTCTTAGTTAACATTATAAGGTACTGTATATTCAAAATGTATATGTTTTGTACTAATATACTTAAAACTATTTTAATAGCCAAAGGAATAATTAATATAAGTGTATCTGACAAGAAAAGAAGAATAGAAAGAAACACATACTGCATTATACACAATAAAAAGAATGGGATGCCAATTCAAGTCTTTTTGAATCTGGCAACTGTGCATAATTAGCCGAGCTATAAGGCCGTCGACGAGCCGTCGATCCAAAACCGAAAGTTCAAAATTTCTAATTATATTCTGATTATGATATTGTCGCGCCATCTAGTATTCTATTTGTGCAATTTTAGCTCTTTCATTTCGAGTATTTTTCTGTTGCGTAGCTAGATATTCTGTGCTTATACTGTTGGTTAAAAATTTTGAGAACCGCTGAAAAATGTATGAAAGTCCCTTTATTCCATTCCAGTGGTGTACCTTTATTTTAAGAAATATTAGAATTCATTTTTAATTCACAATTTTCATATTTATTAAGTTTTTCAGTTAGACGTTTCATTCTATCATATATTTAAAAAAGGGACACGGTTGATATACTCAAATCTTGCTTTTATAACGATTTATTTTAGCGTTATCATGCTCATGTAGATATTTTTTTTAATAATTTATTTTACACAATGCTCATTACCAGTTGGATCTATATTTGACTTAATACTAGGTAATTAAATTATTACAAATACATTTTCTAGTTTTTTTTTAATTTTTTACAAGGTATTTTTTATTGCTTTTTAAAAACCGGATCTGGACAAATATTTTAATTGCCAAATTTGTTTCAGACAGGTCAAGAATAATAGACAGTGCTATTTTTATTACATACCTTTTTGCGTTGTTGACTAGTGGCGTCAACCAAAGCTCATTATATTTTATGAATTACTTTTGAATCCGTTCCAAAAAGCCATGTATGCATTGCACTAATTAAATTTGATTGATAAAAATATTTCAATTTTCATATCAGTCAATCAGAGATTACGTCAATAGATGACATCATTCAAATTTGCGTTAATCACAAGTTATGAATGAAAAACATAATGTGTTTATTAATGAGTAGGCGTTTTTGATATGATAATAAGCAAACTTCACGCAAATCTCATAAATACTATGATAAACAACAACATCAACAACTTATTAATCTTATTTTTTATCAAATAAAAAGTCAAAGTCAATTTCTGTAACGTTAGACCGATCAAGAGAGCTTCTTAACTTATTTTAATAAAAAAAAATTCTGTGGTTTTGAATGGAAAAATGTAATTTTTTATTTTATCAGAAAGACAAATATCATAATTCCTATAAGCAGATTTAATGGAAAAAAATCCAATTAACGCTAAACTGGTTGAATTACCACTTCACAAATTCCCGGTAAAACAGATTTATCTAGTTGAAAAAATTTACACGTATTTTACACTGCTCGACGTAGAATCACATTTATTGTTTAATTTTTGTTCTTTCTAATTTTATTATACAGGGTGGTCCGAACTGTGTTCCGGAAAGTTTGACAGCATATTCTGCAGATAAAAATAAGTAAAAAAGTTCGTATGTCCTAAAATGCTTAGTTTGGGAGATACAGAGGGTGTAGAAGTTTCATTTTTATTTCGTTTTTTTCCAAATAATTTCTTCCAAGTACCGTCAATATTGGGATGAAAATTGATGTCTGGGAGAGAGTTTTTTGACATGAGAATTGTGATTTTGATATCAATATGACTCCTACTTGTAGAGGGCGTCCCCTACATATTTTTTAACTGGTTTTAAGAGTAATAACTTTTGGTCCGTACCTGTATAAAACTACTGAACAAAAAATATACATTTACGACGTTTTTTTACGTAAAAAAGATATCTTGGTTGAAATCGCTACGAGCAATGGTTCTCGAGATATTTTGAATCTAAATTACCAATTCTGTCATAATTGACATAAATTTAACATGTTGGCAAATAGTTATTAGACTGAAATCATACATTTGAAATGTTGTTGTGCCTAAAGTGTAATAGAAACTTTTATCATCATATTTTCGAAGAAAAATTTATGATTAATTTAAAAAATAAAATGTTCCCAAATTTATCATGTCAGTCAAATAACTACTGGGTGAGTCTTACATAAGTGCAAATATTTTCAGAGCTGGTATATTTCGACTTCAGGAACACGTCTATGAGGTTTTTTTCTCAAAAAATATGTTGAAAATCGTGCATTTTCTTTTAAATTTCCCTGTATATTTTTCGAAAACTTTTTAGAACTGCCTGTTCACCGCAAATTTTCCCACGGTATATTTTCTTAATCTCTAATATTACCATATATAGTTACGGGTTACGGCTTTACTCTATGGTTACAGCCGTAAAAGGGATGCAATTACAGAAAAAAAAATTCAGTGGCTCTCAAAATTTTTTCAAAGAAAAAACAATTTTTTTTTAAATTTTCAAACTTAAATAACTCGGTTATTTTGGACTTTGTCTTTTGTTTTGGAAATATGTTTCTTTTATCGAGATCTACCAGGGCTGAAAATATTTGCACTTATTTAAGACTCCCTAATAAGACCCTGTATATCAACTCAACATGTTTATTTTTTGCCAATAATGACACGTATTGACTATTTGCATTCTAAATATCTTGAGAAAGGTTGCTCGTAGCGATTTTTACCAAGAGACATTTTTTACGTAAAAAATCAGGGAAATGTATATTTTTCACTCAGTAGTTTTATACAGGTACGAACGAAAACTTATTGCTCTATACAGATAAAAATTTGTAGGTGGTGCCCTCTACAGGTAGTCATATTGAAATCAAAATCAAATTTCTCTTGTCAACCACCCTGTATAATACCTTGAGATACACATTTAAAAGTGCCTATTTGGATTGGAAATATGAACTTTGTAGTCTTTATACATTCTATACCTTTTTATCTAACTTTTATTACAAAATAAAAAATATTATTGATAGAAAGATAATTTATTACATTTTAATAAAATGAAAAATTATAATGTTGGAAAGTATATACCTATCTATCTATTTATAGGTAGAGTTTTATCAGAAAGATCATTCATATTAAAACAAATTCAGAGGAATAGATAAATGTATGTATAATCATATTCTCGGAAGGTTTTTATTTGAAAAAGAATTCTCCTGGTATGGAGCGTTTAAATTTCATGACGTCATCGTCACATTGATACTTGCCAAATATGTTGTAAATTTCTTGTGCCATTCATATTATATTATGTATGTTCTAGATTGTGAAGGATATCTGCGAAATTTACAAATCCATTCATAATATGTTCAGCTTCATTGTTCCTTATTACTATATAAAAAAAACTATTTTAAACCGGTATTACTGTTTATAGGGAAACATGTAAATGAATATTGATTTTACAAATTAAGTGCGTGTTTCGCATTAAATAAAAAATTCTCATTAAAGCAATGTTTAATAAATAATTAATATATTTTTTGTTGTTTTAAAATATTGTTTCATTTGTGATTTCAAGGTTTAGGTAAAATTCCAATGATTCGATATTTTTCGTGGAGATAAAGATAAACCAGATATTTCAGTTTTAGTGTATCTAATACTTGTCTATATCTAAGTTAAGATATTATATCCAAATAAGCTGTTTCTCTATATGTGAGTAGGTACCACAAAATATGGTATGTACTTAGGTAACTTTATGTCGTTAATCATTTTTAAACAAAATTGGTTTAAAAATAAATTTAGGATTTTTATTGATTAGATAGATGATAGTATTGATCTTTTATTTATTAAAAATTTGATTTTAAAGTCAAGTAAATAAAATCGTTATAAATTTAAATATTGATAGATAATATTTTCTATGAATATAATACAAATAATGATACATTTATATGTGTTAAATATTATCATCATACCCATCATTCATACCCAATTATACCACTCAGAATAATGAGTCTGATATAATTTCGATGCAATGTTGTTAGTTGCATTATTAACTATAAGCTAAAAACACATTTTGGGTTAACTCAGTTTGGCAAATATTTTTTTATTTTGAAACTTGGAGAAACTAATTTAGGACAAGTTTGCTTCACCTACGAAACCGTAGATGGAGCTAAAAACAAAGGAGGGTCCTATATAAAACAAAAATAGTACCTATACAAAAGCGTAAAAAGGCAAAGGCTACAAGAATCCAAATTTCTTTAGAAATTTAACTTGTTTTTGAATAAACAATAATTAACAACTTATTAACATTAATAAGTTATTAACATTAACAACTTATTAACATTAACAGCAACAGCAGTTTTAAAAACCCTGCTATTCTCATACTTCTGAGGACATAATATTAAGACTAGGCTAACGTTCGTTCACGTTGATTCATATTCTTGTAATTATGAGTACTTAATGTTAGAGTAAAGGCGCGTTTTCACGAGTCAATTAAACTGATTAAGTCACAGGAATTCCACTGACATGAAAAAATATTCAGTGTTTACACATTTGATATCAAAAAGCTTCTGCTAGTTGATATAAAATGGCAACGCGACAGTGCGTAAGGCTGTACTTCAAACTGTCCACATTTTGGCAAAAAAAATTGACGCACAGACACAGCACTGCCGCCATTTTTAATTAACTAACAGAAGCTTTTCGACATGAAATGTGCAAACTTGGAATATGCTCTCAAGTCAGATGAATTCAAGTGACTTGATCAATTCACTTCACTCATGTAAACGGGCCTTTAGGATTATGATTGGAAGTATAAACTAACCATCACACGATTTTTTGTACCATAACGTCCAATATTCAAGTATTTAACTTATTCAAAATGTTTTGTTTTTGTTCCAGACTGACTTTCAAACTTGGGCATGGCACGGGCCCGACATGCCCGGTTGTAACACGGTATGCCCCAACTGCAAGCACAAGTTTCCTTGTTGCCCCCCGGGCACCACCTCCACCGCCGCCTACCCCGGAATAGCCGCCTCCCTACAATGTCCGAGCGTGCGCAGATCGTTTGTGCTGAGCGGAGGAGGCCTCGTGGGGGGCCCGGTAGCGCCCAGCTTAGCTCCACCAGCCAGCCCGTGTTCCTCACCTCAGGTAAATTACAGTTTTATACATCTACACTTGTGTTATGTTTAGGTATGGATATATAGATATCAATGCAATCTAGGTTTACATACAGTTGTGTCTATAGAGTTCCATATGACCTTCTCCCACGCGATCGAAAGATGCGTACAACTTATCTTCGATAGGAACTATCAGAAACAAAAAGTCTTAAGTCAAGCAGCTTTAAGAACGATCATCTCCGTAACCACCAATTCGAGGTTGGTCAAAGAATGCCTGGAAAAGCTGAACAAATAGATAAACAAAATAAAGTCTTCCTACTCTCTGGCTCTTGGGTACCAGCCTACCAAGGAATAGAATGTTCTTCTGATGCTGTCACCATAAATCGTCAGGCTTTGTATTTTCCCTATGGTAATGGTGCAGATTGCACATACGCATAGCATAGGCTAAAGTCTATGCAATAAGTTGGAGAAGATTTCGAGAGACGACATCCAAAAATGACAAAAAAATTAATTTAGCTGTGAATTAAAGCGGCATACACAACTGCTGGATAGACAATAATAGATTAAGATTCGGGATTCCTATAGTTTCATGGCGCGCAAATTCATTTCATGGAATCTACAAAACAAAGAATATTGGCGAATCTCACCATTTGCTTGCCAGATTGTGTTTTATTCTACGAGGGTCCGATGATATGGAATTCCTTTAGTAGATATTTACCATTACGCAGCCAAATGTTTGTCTGGGCAGCTGAGACTTTAGTAGAGTTCTTTACGACCTGTTCATGTCCATTTCTTTTCCTAATTTCTATATACACCTCTGGTTATTAGTGATGTGTAGTAGATCCGTGATCCGTATTGCGCCTTTATATTATAAAATATATTCAGAATCCTGCTCATACAACGATGACAAATGTTTTTGAGACGTTGTTTCTTACAGATGTTTAGGTTAATGGATATTAGCTGCTGGAATAATGGATGCTTAAGCTCCAAATTTCGTAGCCAAACATTTTCAATTTCGTTCAAAGCCAAACATTTTCAATTTCGTAGCAAAACAATTTATATAGAAATCGGTTTCAAAATTTTTTTCGCCGTTATCCGATGCTCTTCTTCCACATCTCTCAATTGGTCCACTATCTATCTCTAAGGTCTCTGCCACTTATGGTCTTATTTATTCCTTCGTTCCAGGCTTTCTTTGGTCTCTTCCTTTCCTTCTACGGCGTGGGGGTTCCCATTCCATCACTTTCTTAGGAAATCGTGAATCATCCATACGCCGCACATGACCATACCCCATTGGATTTATAAAGTCCCTATTTCATTTGGGTAGTTTGGTTAGAGAATTTATTCATATTTCATATACTATCAAATATGCTCCGCTGTGCTTTTTTAATCTTGTTGATAATGTCAATCCTCATCTCTACCATTATCGATATTAATGATGATACTACTTAGATGTGTGAATTGTCGACATTTTCAATATCACAGTCTACACTTTTTAAACCTGCATATCTGGCAGAGAGGTTAAACTATCAAGTAAAATTTCAGACATATTATCGGCATACCGTCCACCGGACATTATCTTATGTCTATACATTTGTCTGCACAATATTATACACCTAAATTTAATAGTTGGTGAATTTAATTTTATTATTTATTTGCAGAGTTCGCCTGGAACAAATATCTCATTTGTCCTGCCTACTATACCTTTGCAAGTAGTACCTCCTCCCCAGGAAGCCAAGCCAGAAGCAGAGTTGCGACAGTTGGCAGATACCGTTCGGGCTCTTCGCCAATCAGGCTGGTTCTACGAGGGTATTAGTTCCGATGAATCCAACGAAATGTTGAAAGATACCGAGGTACGTCGATTACTACCTTTTATACCCTCATTTATCGTAATACAGTACAAGATGACAATTTGAAGAGTGTCAAACAGGAATATTTCTTAGACAAAAAATCGGGAATATCTCAAATATATATCGGGAGATTGGAGGGGAAACCAAAATGACGTACTTTTTCACTAACCTTGCTTTATTAGAGTTGTCACCCTACCTTTTTTAATTCGAACCTATCTTGTGGGGTTCATCGTCTTAGAAAAAAAGTCTTATAGAGGAAGCTTAAATCATACGATTAGTTTTTGAGATATGTGTATTTAAAAGTAGAGCAACGTTTGTAAAAATGCTAATTTGGACTTTCTTTCTGACAGATACATTTTTTTCTTTTCCTCTCAGTATTTTATGATTATGATATATTCCCGATTGCTTACGCTCCAAATTGTCACCCTGTATTCGACTAGAGCAGAACACTGCATAAAAGCATCATTGTCTAATGTAAAATTAGCTGACCCCCCCCCCTCCCTTAGAGATTCAAAAATAGCTCAAGTTTTCAAGAAATTTACAAGTCCCTCCAGTTACATCAACTTACCACCATATTTTTAAAAATTTTGAGACACATTGAGAAAATTAAAAGAGTATTAATATTAGTATTAGTTCCTTCCGTAGAAATATAAAAAAATAAAAAACAGAAATGTGTTAGATATGCTCATATCAAAATGTACCTGCCAATAATTACTTTAAATGATAATTATTATAGTAATGATTGTTAGTTATAAATAATTAGTAGCGCCAGCTACATACTTATGATAAGAAATCTATATAATTAGTAATAGTTCCACTTTAATTTAAAAGTTTAATTATTTTTTTCCTAAATATACTTAATTGTTTATTTTTATTCTAAAAATCACTCATAAATTGTACTAGATACAAATCGAAACTCTTATGCACTTTTAAAAGGTATAACATGTATTCTTCTTTTAATCTAGATGGCCTTGCAACAAGAGTCTTGCAATGAGACCAAAACCAAGCCTGGACTCTGCAAGACATAGACCAAGACTACCTCTTAACTGTCTCTAAGACTCCCTTGGTCTTGATCTTGCATTTGCCCATCACTAATATCTACTAAATTTATATAATTTTTATATCACTTTCTTATTCCCATTATCAAACAAAAGTTATTTCAGACTTTTAGACGTCCAGTCGTTCAAATTAATTGTCAAATAGTGAGTAATGACACGAGAATATATATCTAAATATACACATAAAGTGGGTTCACGAAAAATTCAACTATTTTAATAGTACGAACATTATTTAATTTAGACCACACAATTGGAACGTGTGTATACGTGCTGTAATGAAAAGTCAAGTGGGAGATTAAGAGACCACTTGGGAAAACCAGAAATATACAGTTAATTCATTGATAACATATTACAAAGCCGTTCACTCTACATTAGGAAAACAAGTCACATTTAGACACGCTGTCTTCGACTCTACAAACTTAAAAATCATTAGTAGTCGTAGAAAACAGATATCAATAATATGTTCCGTGTTAAATGTCACTGTTTTTAATCCTTTCAGCTGGGTAAAATGTTTTTTTCTTATAACTAGAAGCATATTAATTAAAATGTTAAGTGCAATTGAACACCTACACTAATAAATGTTTAAGTAAACAAATTCTACATATGTATTGTTAAACTCTAAAAATTTATTGACATTAGAAATAATTCATTTAAAATGCATTTATATATGTATGTGAGAACAGTATTTTTAGTTTACTTTTATAGATATTTTCAATTAAAGAGTGATTAGATTATGTAGATTACCTTAATAAAACGATAACATCTGATATCGTGTACTATTAAAATAGTTTGGAAGTTTATAGTTACGATAATTAATTAATCAATCACTAATTTATTTTTTTTTAAACATTACTTTTTAGTTTTATTTCATTTGACTAATTTAAAAATATTAATCAGTTTAGACAAAGTTATCTTTAATTCCTTGTATTGTAAATGACTATCGATGACATTCCCCATGTAATTTTTCATATAAAATCACATCGACCTTCATTTCAAAGCCATGGCTGACGCCGTTTTATTTTTCAATGTTTATTTATAAAACCATGCGCTAAGAAATTACTTAATTTTACCAGTCATTAATCCCATTTTTAATATTCCAATTTTTGTTTTGCAGATCGGTACCTTTCTCGTACGGAACTCATCGAATCCCAAGTACCTTTTTTCTCTAAGTGTTCAAACAGAGAGGGGTCCCACCTCCGTGCGCCTGTACTATACCAACGGGTACTTCAAGCTGGACTGCCAGGTCCATCTACAACACGTCTTGCCCGCTTTTCCCAATGTGATAGATCTTATTCAGCACTACGTGCAAGAGTTTGAAAGATGTAGCCAAAGTAAGTATTCAAACCTATATAACTAACATATATTACATGAGGGTGAGTTAAATATACGATAGTACAGTAGGTTAGTTTGCTGTTGTAACGTTGTAACAAAGATTCCAACTCCAACTGATGTATTCTTCAGTGATAGTTGTTGGCTCAATCTAGGAATTTAATTCAGAACTCTTTAGACAGACTTTAGTCAATCACTTTTAATGCATAATGTTACATCAGATTTTCAGTTCAAACCATCCCAAGAACGGTAAACTAATAGGATTGCTCATCCTCAAGACGTACGTTCGCCTCTTCCCGCGCTTCAGCTGACAGTTGTGACGTCATTGTAGTCCTTGTCATGATAGTGTCAGATAGTGTGTATTATTAGTTGCCTATAGTAAACTTATAAAAATAACAGCTGAGAACTTTTGAGTTAATTATTTTGTCAATTTTAAATGTGAAAAAGGTATCTTTAAAGTTTTTAGAGCTATAGAGTGTATAAATACGTTCATTTTGTGTTGTGGATCGTGACAAAGTGCTTACCAAGTGCCCACGATTTTGTTTATTAATTATTCTAAAGCAAAATATGGAAGTACTCTAAAAAGAATGCTTGCAAAAGGTGATGCTGGGAACTGCTGTTCTTAAAAATGCATTATCCGAGTATTTAATACGATTTATACAGTTAATTTTCTATACTGCATACATATAAGGTGTTTAAATAAATAAACTAATGAACGTAAAAAAATAATGAACGTTCTGCATCCGGCAACCAATAATGCACGTGTGTGTATTATTGGTTGCCGGATAAGGACTAATAACCACAAAATAACCATGACAAGGACTACAATGACGTCACAAAGCGAGTAGTTTTCGCATGCACCTGGCGGACACTTTTGGCCGAATGAGCAGTCCTATTAGGTTAACTGTTCTTGAAACCATCCCTATGTTTTTTTTGACAAGGGGCCGTCCTCTGCCGAAAACACTGCGACTTGTGTGGCCTATTGTGTTTGTCCTCTTTCTATATCTGCACCCATTCTTCTATCCCTGTACCCTGCACTAACTTATAACTTATGCAGGTCCTAGATAGGATGGCAGCATAGTTCCTCCGGTTCTAGCCTAGCTTTCCCAAATAAAAAGTGTCGCTTGCGATCCAGAGCCTCGCAGTGACATATTATGTGTTCCGCTGCTTCAGGATCTTTATCACAGAGTCTGCAGCAAAGACTTCCTTGATACAGGTTGAGCTTGTTAAGGTAACACTTGACAGCCATGTGTCCTGTCAAAAGGCCTTTATAATCCGCACTTTCTTCCTGCTAAGCATTAGCAATTCTTTTTGCGGTTTTAGAGCTAGGTCCTTGGATAAAGGCTTTGCTGTGCCTGTGCCCCTGTCTGTTTCTCCAATGGATATTCTGCTTTTCCCTGGTCCAGAGTTTTAGTGCACTACGGACCATACATTTGGGTATTCCCAGTACCGGCTCTGGACCAAGATAGGATGCCGATGATCCTTGCCTAGCTAGCTCATCGGCTTTTTCGTTGCCTTGGATGCCACTGTAGTCCGGCACCCAGAATAATATAATTTAATGCTATTCCTTCGTGCTAGAGCTGCCAATTCACCTAGGCATTCCAAAACGTGTTTCGACGATACCTTTGGGCTCATAAGCGCCCCAAGTGCCGTCTGACTGAGCATATATTGATGAGTTTACCTGAATAAGCTCTTCTGTTGTTTTCAAATCCCTATGTTACATCAAGCGCCCCTGAATGAGTTTGCATTAAAAGAAACGACTCCAACTTTTGTTTTTTTAAATGGCACCCTCGGTATGTTTTTACTTTATTCTATAAAAAATGACACTCTGAATAGAATGACATATCATATGTCAACTTTTGACATTTTCGCATTTGTTTATTTGAAATTGTAACATGCGGTTCATGACGACAATTTGACTCGAAATACCAAGTGTGTGGTATCAAATTATTCGTAAAAAAAATGCTTTTTCCAAATATGCTAATGAGCCACCCCCGTTCGATTTGAAAAAAATGAGATATGATTAAAAATACGATTTAGGCATCTTTTAACCGGCCAGGACAAGACACTAAAAACATTAGACGATCAAATCTATTTCAAAAATTGACATTTTTCTATCGAATAATGTGAAAAAATACCGAGGGTGCCACTTAATAATCAAAAGTTGTAGTCATTTCCGGTGAAACAGGAAATGACCGAAAACAATTGAATACGTCAATCAATTCTAATTTATGTCATATACTAACATACCAAATCTCATTTTTTTATCTGAAAAAATAAAAAAGTTATAGGGGTGAACTACTTTTGAGACGCACCCGGTATATACAACCATATCACCAAATTATATAGATTTACCTATAACTATTAATGTTCCCATAATTTGAAAGCCTAAATTTAACTAATTGATTGCTCTATTTTTTGCAGATCGCAATATGCAAGTGTGGGTAGACAACCGAGGCAAATGGTTCTCGTCGATCCGAATCAAGGCTCCGTTGAGGAAAGGGGCAGAACCGCCCAGCTTAAAACACTTATCTCGCTTGGCCGTCCACAAAGCGATTCAAAGGTCCGGCAAGCCCAAACTAGCCCTCCTAATGCCCCACAAACAGCTAGAGTTACCCATTCCGTTAATATCGTACCTATCCGATTATCCGCACTCTATATGAGGGTTAAGTCTGTTGAAGGATCATCTGATAATGATCCTCAAGCTTCAGTATATATGGGCAAACGTTTAGCTAGGGTAGTTCTCGCCAAAGACTGTTATCCGGTACCATTTACATACCGATGGCCAGGTACTAGGGATGTTAAAATCGTGGCTCGAGTGCTAAACGACACATTTTCGCTATTAAAGGCAGCTTATATTGATTACCTTGCAATATAGATTTTTTTTGTTTAGACAGTATTTCCTTTGACTTAAAAACTCGAAAAAAAACATGTAATTGTTTAGCACAGAACCAAATTGCCTTGGGCCAACATTGATTTGATCAAGAAAGGCTCTAGAAATAAAACTTAGTTAGAATAACAAATTGTAGATGTAATTCTGTCTGTTAATCTGTGTGTAGTTTGTAAAACCATGTTAGAATAATTGAATTCAGTGTAATTTGGGTTAAAAATTTGAAGCAAACTGGGAAAATATATTTTTTGTAAATTATTTTTAATAACACTTCAAGTGTATTATGTTGTTGAAATTGGGAATATTTATAACAGATGTATATACACATCACAATTGACGTCAGTTGTTGCTTAAGTTCGTTTATGTTAACATAAATTTTTACATGTTTTGGATTTATATTAGGTACATGATTAATACTAGAAAAAAAAACTGCCATATTTTTTTCTCTCAGTTTTCTTCAAGATAAATTTAACCCGAAAATGACAAATAGATGACATTCGTAAGCCACATTGGCTGTAACTAAATCAATGTACTCTGTACCGTGTATTTATTATTCAATATTACTAAGAATGTATAGTAAAAAACACCAAATTTCTTAGTTTTTAATACGCGAATAAATGCATTTATTTATTATTATTTTTTATATTACGCGATAATAGAATGTAATTCATCGTGTTTTATACAGCGGCGCTAAGATTCCTCTGTATTTATTCCACCATTTATTTGATAAATCATTTAAGCCGATGATAACCCAGCAAACACCATTTTGTTTCTTTTTGACCTCACAATAATCTTTCATTCACTGATTTCTTCGAAACAATTATATTTATTTGCATTACATTATGTCCATTATAACCCTTATTTAAAAATAGGCTTTTAAAGTTCATCAAAATATTACGGAACACTTGGAAATTGTACTGCGACAATCTCAATAGACATTTTCATGAGATCTGTAAACAATTCGTTATCGTTGGACACTACTTTAATAGAGGCTAACATTGATAGCTTTATTTGTACTTAACATATCAGTTTTGAGAATTTCAGCTATATATTACAATAGTTTTAAATAGATCATGACAAGTTGTTTTTTTTTCGCTCATTTTCATAATAACGTTTTTGTTTAATCAAATCATTCTTCACTTAATTTATATTATTTTGACCTTCTAGTCAAATATCGTATTCTTTATTTCGTCTATAAAAAGTTATAAAGATAATTATACATAATTTTTAAGTTTCATTATTATAACGAAAATTTCCTAATCTCATTCAAATTTATAAAGCCTTTTCATATTTATTTTTAAGTATTTATTTCGAATGTAAAATGACTGTTTAGTTTCTTTGTAACAGGCGATGGTATTGTTTTTTTTTCTATGTGTGAATGTAATTTATATTTAGTTGTGTTTGAAGACATGGGAGCGGAAAGCTCCACGAAAATGTTTAGTTTAATGTATTTATTTTATTTAGAAAAGAAAATAAATTATTTATTATTTTATAGACAGTGTTCTTTTTTACCTCTTCTACCAAAAGCTGCAGTGCGATTCTGTAGGCTCGTTAGTAAGAAATTTCTTGCCTAGCTTCTGATACTTTTAGCCGATTGATGTCACAAGAAAGAAAATATATTTGCAGAATCGCACTGCTGGTAATTGATAAATAGGCTTAGTACATTCTCCGCCAGTGCTGCCACCTTCGGAGAATCCCGTAAACAGCCGACTAAACAAATACACGGGGTTAAATCGCCAGTACACGAAAAATTTGTTATAGTATTAGTGTTAAAACAAAGTTATTGAAAAAAAAATTACACCATATGCCGCTTATAAAGCAGCTGCAAAAGTATGAACCTGACAATTTTAAATAACTACCTTTGCATGGATGAATATACTTTTCAACATTATTGATAGAGAATACTACAACCTGTGAATTATTTTGTAATTGAATACTACAACCTGTTAATTAAAATGATATACATATATACTGCCACTAGCGTGTACCAGCGACTTCGTTCGCCTCAAATATTAAAAAAAATATTTTAATATTTGAGGGATAGTTTCACCCCTTAGAATTCGAGTTTCGAAAAATCCCTTCTTATCGAACCTCTACACCCTAAAGTCAATCTGTTTTCCAAAAATCAGCTTTTTACGTCAAGCGCTTTAAGCAGGATCGTGATTAATCAATGACCAGATTTTTCGAAACACCCTGTATACATTTTTAAAAATCTTAAAATATGTAAAAAACAAAATAAAATATACGTGTTTAAGCGTTTTTTCGGAAACTCGACCGTTTTTTAAATAAAAAATATTGTAATATTTGAGGGGTGGTTTCACCCTCTTGGAACTGGAATTTCGAAAAATCCCTTCTTATCGAACCTCTACACCCTAGAATCAACCTGTATGCCAAAATTGAGCTTCTTACTTTGAGTGGTTTGAGCAGGATCGTGATTAATCAGTATGTCAGTCACTTAAGGATTTTATACAGACCGGACAACCGTAGTAGTAACATAGGCAGAACCGGACGAATTAGCGTATACCCGCCCGCCGGATAAAAAGCAGGCGAAAAAATGCGATAAAATAAAAATAGGTAGATATGTGATAAGAATGTTTCAGAATTTGTATTTTTTCGTGTTTTAATAGCCAAAACGAATACATAGATTCTCGCGACAGTTCTCGTGTAAAATTTATTTTTTTAAGTAAAATAATGGATGTTTACGAAGTTGAAATTGAAAACTGAAACAGAATAAACAGAAAAAACAAGAAAATTGAAACTGTAAAATGGTATTTCCAAAATAGGTCTTATCGGAATATACAAACAATTTTTCCACAAACTTTTGTAAACAGGCCAATTCCATCTTTACCTACTATATCAAGAGTTATTAATAATTTTGAAACACATGGGTGCGTGTCCCCACAAAAACACAAAAAGCCTGATGTGTTGATTAATGAAAAACGGGAGTTAAAGCAAGTGTTCATTTGTGCTACCGCGGATCAAAATCCCACGTTTTCAAGTAATCAAATTGATGAGGTGGTTACTCTGCCCACAATGCCCGTATTGTTCAAGAATATTTGAACAATACTTTTCCCAACCGTTTAATTAGTGGATATGGAACTATTTTGTGGCCCGCTAGATCACCAGATCTTTCTCCCAATAATTTCTTTTTGTGGGGTTATGTAAAATCCAAAGTGTATGGTCATAATAGTGCTAATAATCTGGATGAGCTTCAAGTAAAAATACGAGAGGCTTTCCAAACTACTAGCCCTAATAATATGCCAATGCCAGACGGGGATTTTACAACCGCCTAGGCTTCTGTCTAGCACAAGAAGGTGGTCTTTTTGAACACTTGTTATAACTTTTTTTTATTTATAGTAATATTTTAGTTTTTTTTGGGGTTTAGAGAATTTATTTATTTTTAGTTTTGGCTTGTAAACACTCTCAAATAATAAATATTTAAGTATTTTTATTTTAAATGTTACCTTAAGTGAAGGTAAACACTTAAAATGAAAATAATAAATACTCGGCACTCCTCTCGTCGTATTTCTAGTCACGACCGACCCGTCCAAGCACAACTGCAACTGCGTACTGCCTGACCAGCCGACTAGCCGGCAGTGAAGAGTACGAACGCAAATCGGGTAAACGTAAATTCGTCCGGCAACTTGCTATGTTACTAGTAGCCTGGTCTTCTCTGTATATTAGCACAGATTACTCGCTGACGAGTATTTGACACGCATCAGAAGATGGTTGCGCAAGGCGTTTCCTTTCATGAGCTTTTCTGTGACTGAAAAGCCCGATACGCGATTTTATCTCTCTTCCGCACTCCGGACATTTCTTTATGTCAATGATGACAATCTCATTACTTTGTTGCCTCTTTACTTTTTGGTTGTCGCTGTTAACTGAGTTTACAATTCTTCTCCATTGCGTTCTATTGTGCGCTGCTTCTTTCCACTCATTCTGCATGTTTATCCCCTTTAAGTTTTCGTGGAAAATATCCTTGTACCTTTTGAGTTGTCCACCCGGTTTTCTCTTACCATCTACAAGCTCACCGTAAAGCATCCCGCATCTTATGCGGGATTTTGTAATCATGACTTCAACGCCCTCGCAGTTATCTTTTTCAAGGACCGATACGTTTGAGACATGGTGGAACCATTTGATTCTAAAGAGTTGTCTAAGGTGCCTCTGTTGCAACTTGTTTAATGCGTTCATGTGTCGGCGGTACGGCACCCAGGCTTCGCTTCCAGATAACATGGTGGGGATTATTATTGCTCGGTACACCGCAAGTTTCGTTTTTGTGCTCAAGTCATGATTGTAGTAAACCCTGTCTTTTAATTTCCAGAATGCTCTCTTGAGGCTCTGTTAATCCTGTGCTGAATTTCGGAGTCGATATTTAGTGGAGTGCCCAGAGACTTTTAGCTCGGAATTCAATTACTGTGAATGTATTAATGTGGAACCTTCTGTATTGTGTTTTATAGATAAAATACTAAAATGTTTACCCTTTTTTTTTCGTTGCTTTTAATTTTTTATTTTAGTAATTTTAGTAAATTCTTAATTATTTCCCTCTTAATTTTTTGATTTTTTTAATTCTTTTTTTAAGTAAACTTATTTAAATAAATAAATTTAATGCATAAGCTATACCTATTCTGCCTATATTCTAATCATTGAATTTTTGATTGAAATCGAATTATACAGGGTGGCACGTCATATACGACGCGGTTTTTGCAAAGAGAACAAAAGTTTGTATTGAAGTGAAATTTTGTGAGCTTATGTAATTCAATTTAAAGCATTTTCTAAAATTATGTAGAGTTCTACAGAGTGTCCCCAAAAAAACTTACACATCAAAGTTATGTTTTTTGTAATGGAACACCCTATATATTAATTGATTTTTGGATTCTAGTTAAAAAATAAAGGTTTGTTTCATAAGAAAAGTATATAACTAAAATGTATAATTTTTGAAATACATTCACCGGCACGAAAAATGGGCAAATGAAAACTTTGATGTATTTTAAAGATTAATATATTTTGTTTAATGGGCCGATTTTGATGATATTTTAAGCAGTGTGTAGCCAAATTATTTTACTTTGTCGTATCTTTTTCTAAATTAAAAATCGGCGTCCGGAATTTCCAAAATCTTGTATGGAAATCCTATTCATTATGTTAAATATTTAAGGCATTTCTTCAAAATGGCGAATTTGATGTTACCCGAAATTAGGTTTTAAACGCCGTTAAACGGCAACAACAATTAAAAGTAAATCTTCGGAATACATTAATTTGGAAAACCCAGCAATTTAAAAAATATTATCCCTCTATTGTTGTTATTATTATTATACGAACCGTTAT